GTGCCATGTGGGAGACCAGGATGGAGTCCCGCACTGCTGGCTTCCTCCTGACCCAGCCCTGACTGCTGTGTGTATTCTGGAGTAAACGAGCAGACGGAAGATCTCTCTTCAGCTGTTTATCCAATACAAACACATAAATAAAAAATTATTTTTTAAAATGTTAAAGGCATGGTAGATCCTGTGAAGCTGCTAGAAGGTTTTGTTATCATGCTTTAATCTGCTTCTGAAACCTGGAAGATAGAAGCCAGGTCCACTTTTACCAGACAGCAGTTATTAATGGTTCTAGTGACCAGTTCCTTCAAGAGCTTCCCTGGGATGCTTTCTGGCAGTGCTCCAAGGCCAAGTGCACACTTCAGATCCAAAGTGAGCGTTCACCTATCTTCTTGCTCACTTCCAAATGGGCACAAAGGCGAAGTCTGACCCCGGGCAGGTCCATGATCTCCAGTCTGATTTCCAACACAGATGGCAGAGGCTAAAGTGCTCAGGCCATCATCCTCTGCCTTCCCACACACATCCACCAGGAGGTGACTCAGAAGCCGAGTGGTCAGAAAACAGTCTGATGCCGGATGGGCAGCTTAACCAGCTGGGCCAGGCCAGCCCCTCATTACATACGTCGCTCATCAGCTCTGATTTTTGCCCTCATTAGCCAAAAGGAACCTGTGTTAGGAACAGCACAGCCTCCACCACAGGGCTCCTGGGGATGCGGCACTGGCCTCTGCTGGCTTTGCCCAGCACTGCAGCTCCTCGGTGGTGGGTCAGTCTAGGTAAGCCGCCTTACATCTCAATTTGGTTTCTACAAGCAGGAAATTGTTGGGTCAAGTTGTACGCTAACGAAGTATCCTATCTGAAGAATCTGGTATCTCCAGCAGCCAGTTTCCCAATACAAATTTATAAAGTCCTCAATCAGCCCTGTTTGGTAGAAGTAACAAGATGTTTTTCCTTTCCTGTTTCCCTATCACCAAAACATGCATAAAAACTGTGTCAATGCAAGTTAAGATGCTGCCTGCAGTGTGGGCATTCCCTTTGCGCACCAGCTCCAGTCCTGTCTGTTCCACTTCTAACCCAGCTCCCTGCTAACAAGCCAAAGATCATCTCAGAGCTCGGAGCCCTGCTCGCCCATGTGGCCACTGACCTTCAAATTAACCAACCTAGCTGTTGTTGTTGTTGTTGTTACTGCTAAAATAGAGAGGGCACCGAGAAAGCCCTCTTTCACAGAAGGAACTGCGTGTGCGTAGCATCCTTAGGATTGATGGGTAACATCTGACTAGTGGACAGGAGCTCAGCAGTTAGATCTGAAACCCCTTAAAGTTCTTGGAGTAGGCCTCTAAAGGAAGTCAGCTTCAGGCTTAGACCCAAGTTCTAAAACGCCTTCTACAACAGCACCACAAGCTGGCGGTTTCACATACCCCACCACTTGCTGTGTCCCTCACTTCCCAAAGCGCAACTGCCTGCTACAGGGTGCGTGGAAGGCCAGGTTCTTCCCACAGGCTGAGCCCAAAGGTAGTGGGGGCTGGGTGGCAGACAGGTCAACAACCCGTAAGGGACCCCTAAGTCCGTTCCTTTTGACGAGGTCCCACCGCGGCGGTACAAAGGACTGGGAAGGCCCCCACAAGGACCCTACACAGGCTAGGGGTCCACAGACCACATGGCGGGGCGTTCGCTCACCTTAAGCACCAGGACCTCGAGCATCTTCCCCGTGCCTCTGGCCCGAAGGCCCTGCAACACATGCCCCGTGGCGGGCATGGAGGGCGTCTCAAGCCGTGCTTCCTCCTCCACCGCCTGGTCGCCGGCACTCGGCACAGCGCCCAGTGCCTGCGCTCTCCGCGGGGCCCACGCCCGCTGACTCCACGGAGACTCCAGCTTTCCCGTGTCCACGTCCGTCTTCGACTCGCCCGGAGGTGACGCGCTCCGTCTGCCGCCGCCGCCGCCGCGTGCGCGCTCCGGGATGCTCGCCGCCTTCACGTCGGGCCTCCGCACCGCGCCTCGCCACGGGCCTACCGCAATGGCGCCCGCCCCCCTCGCCACGGGCCTACCGCAATGGCGCCCGCCCCCCTCGCCACGGGCCTACCGCAATGGCGCCCGCCCCCCTCGCCTCGGGCCTACCGCAATGGCGCCCGCCCCCGCGCCGGCCTCCAAGCGTCGTGGAACCACGTGGAGCGTCCAACGGCCCTGACAACGGCCGGCCTGCGCGCAGCTCGACCCCGTCGTGGGATTCTCGCCGCGGGGCTGGGGGCGCGAGGCTGGCACCCACAGCCATGGGCTTCAGGCCTGACAAAAGCCCTACATCATGGCTGGTCCCTGCCCCGGGGGCGCCTGCCTGGATCGAGCGAGGAGCCAGCAGTTAATATACACAGCTGGAACATCAACGCCGTCCGCCAGGCCTACCGGCCACGTTCCCCTTGACATGCACTGTCCATCCCCTGGGCTTTCCAACGCCCGGGCCCTCCAGGTCTCTGTCACCAGCATGTTTCTCCTCAGCCTCCGCCGCCATCTTAGGCCGGGTTGTGGCCCATGATAAGAAGTTAAGTGCTGTGGAGGAAGCTACCGGGTGTAGCTTCTCAGAGTCGTTTCTTCACCTCACGATGAGGCCCTGTGAGTTACAGATTACACTGTGTGAAATTAAAAAAAACGGTTCCAAGAAGTGCAAGGAAGCTGGGCTCTGAGTAATACCTGGGACCAGGAATAAGACAGCAAACAATAAAATAACGTCACTTTAAAATGAAAGAAAAAAAAATATACTGGGCCTAGATGATTTTTACAGCTGAATTCCTTAACCTTTCAGCAATAGGAAGAAGAAAAAGTTTCTTAACTAACTTTATGTCAAAATGTATTAATTGGTTAGTAAGTCAATCAACAAAAAGGGGAAGAGACCAGTTAGTACAGAGACCAGTTAGTGGAGTCCTATATTTAGAGAGCAGAATGCTCAAGCCCTCGGTTTAAAAAATAAGCTTGTTTCCATGAGGTCCCACACAAGCGCACTTGAGGGCTCAGGCAGGACCTTAGAAGAGGGTAAGTGAAACCTGTACGATAGAAGCCAGGTCCACTTTTACCAGACAGGACAGGCGGCAGGTGCCCAGGACAGGACGGAGGCAGTTGTAGGGAGCATGGGTTTCACCCAGGGATAAACAGGCCACACACCTGGCAGGGCCAACACACCTGAAAGCCCAGGCCTTATTAAAAAAGAAATGAATGGGAGGTCCTAGAGACAGTTCCCAACCTCAAAGGAAATGGAACCTTTGGGCTAGCATTGCCATAGCACAACTCACTGAGTCTCTGCTTGGGATGGCCGTCTCCCATGTAAAGTGCATGGTTCTAGTCTCAGCTGCTCTGCACTTGAATTCTACTCCCTGCTGATATGATTGGATTCTTGCCATTCATGTGAGAGAGTCAGATGTAATTGCTAGCTCCTGGTTTCAGCCTGACCCAGCCCTGGCTATGGTGGGCATATGTGGGAAATGAACTAATGGGTGACAGATCTCTTCTTTCTCACTCTGCCTTTCCAATGAAGAATTTGTTTATTTTTATTGGAAAGGCAGATCAGATTTATGGAGAGAAGGAGAAACAGAAAGATCTTCCATCTGCTGGTTCATTCACCCAAATGACTGTAACGACCAGAGCTAGACCAACCCAAAACCAGGAGCCAGGAGCTTCTTTCCAGGTCTCCCATGTGGGTCCCAAGGCTTTGGGTCACCCTCCCCACTGCTTTCCCAGGCCCTAAGCATGGACCTGGATGGGAAGTGGAACAGCTGGAACATGAACTGGCACCCATATGGGATTCCAGTACTTTCAAGGTGAGGATTTAGCCATTAAATCATCATGCCGGTACTCAAAAAAATTTATTTTAATGGAAATACAGCTTGTAGCTTTCTCCTGATTCTTAGCGTGGGGGCAAACTTTTTTTTTTAACTGACTAGGTCTCCTGCTATAAAAGTGATACCTGCTGGCTGAGCATAAGCACCTCTTGAAGGAGCTGAGTGCATCGGAGGACAAGAAAGCTTATCACAAGCTAGGAACACCTGGTAACCTTGAAACACCAAGCAGCAGACCAAGTCCTGGTGCTCTCTCCTGCCCCCCTCTGGCCACAAACAACAGAGGAGAGCTTCACTCACCTTAATGCTGTCTTTGCTGAGGTCGAACACTCATCCAGAAATGTTTCCAATGCTGAGTCACCATCAGAAGCGTGTGCAAACAGGAGCTGCCACCTTGCCCCATCTCCCACACTTAAGATGGCTAAACGTCCAGTGCTGTGTACCCTGGGCAGCCAATACCCTCACATGGTCACCCAGGCATGTGGAAGTGGTCCATCCATCTCCCCCTATGCTATTTCCTCCCCTCCCCCCCCCCCCCCCCCCCCCCCCCGGCAAGTGTGACTTCCCTGGCTCGCTGTCTGTACTGGACCAGTGAACCTTGCCCAGGAATGCTCGTGATGAAACTTGTTTTGAGTTGAACCGTACTCTATGGGGTTACCTGGTTCTGAACCTGAACTTGAGCCTGACGACTCCCAAACTTATTGTACAACATAGCTTCCATAAAATAAAAATACTTATATATCATATTGGCTTTACCAACTCCAGATTCTTTGAATCAACTTGCAAATACATATTGACAAGAGGCCATTTGCAACCCAGAATGGATTCATTGGGAGCTCATGGTCCAAGACAAGCAAGACAGCACAGCAAGATAAAGTTCCATGAACTTGCTCACTTTTGAGAGGTAGGGGGTGAGGGGTGGAGGCATGGCTGATGCCCTGGTGCGTATGACACTTGGATCTGGCTCATTCCCCTTAGCAAAAGATACCAGTTTGCACCCAGCTCAGTGTTCTGTGCAGTCACTGCTGGTTTTCACTCCTTTTGCACATGACACACTTAAAATGGCCATGTTGCTCATCACCACCAGCCCAGGAAGGTTGAATAGCTTCACCTTACACAACTCTGGGTGTGTTAGGAGGTCCAGGAGTCTCTAGGTCCAGGGCATTAGGGCACTAGGACCTGACACTTCTTGATCCTGATTGGTTTGGAGCTGGAAATGGACATATGTCTAGTAGGGTGTGATTGTATGGGCTGGTTTCTATCCTGTGAGTAGTCAAGATGAGACTGCAGTCAGCCAAGTAGTCCCCTGAGAATGAAGGAATTCAGTATCTGCATCTAGAACCCACCTCCATGCCCAACTCCCAACCCTGATGTTAGTGGGAAGCTTTTTTTTTTTTTTTCAGAAGTTGTACTATTGGGTTAGATACTTGGTGTAGCAGCAAATAAGACATAGTTTAATGTATTCCATATCAGAGTTCTGGGTTTGAATCCTGGGATCCACTTAAAATTCCAGTTTCTTGCTCATAGCCCTGGGATGAAGCAGAGATGAACAACAACAAAGCTGTATCTTTCCTAAGAAGAAAAACCAGTCACCTAACTATCAGGACATCTGAACCAGCACTGGGCCAGAGTAACCAGTGAAGGGATGCGGCACTAGCAGCAGGTTCTACTCTTGGCTGTGGCCCTGGGGAATGAAGTGGGTCTGATTCCAGAGTCCTCACTGACAAAACCACGGAGGACACCGAGGGGTCCTTTCCAGCTGTCACATTCTAGCACCCTGTGGGAGTGAAAAGAGCTCAAACCCAAAAGTCAGGAAGAATTTGTGTAGATTCAGAAGTCAACTGGAATCATATCTGTAGTTCTCACAATTTATATGTTGTAACTATTCATCAGCAAGCAAGAGAGACAGGGAGAGAGACTGATTTGACTTAAGAGTGGTGTTCTCACTCTGGGACAGACAACTCTGTATTGGGTGCCTATTCCTCACATCGTGGGTTATTTCACAGTACCCATGGCATCCCCCAACCAAATGGCAGCAGCAGATTTCTCTCCCCACCAACTGGGACCACCACAAGTTCTGGGTAGAGGTAAATATTCTCTGAAAGCAAAGCGCCCAGGGCAGAAAACTACTTCCTCTAATAAGGATAAAAAACCACACACACTTTACTTGTATTTATCATCGTGTTTATGTTATTGGTAGAGAACAAAGACATTACATGAAAAAAAATGAAATCAACTATAGGACTTAGTAAAGGATTTTGAAAAAGAATGAGCCTTAACCACCTTTAATCAGTAAACACTTTTCTTTAAAAGAGGTGGAAAAATATTTACATTAAATGTACCAAAAAATAAAACTCATTAATTAAAACACCACATGTCTCTAACCCTCTTTGCATAACTACCGCTCTGCAGTAAAAGTAGCAATGGCTTTTATTACGACTTCCTATTTCTTTAAAATATTAAAACAGATGTACAAATTGGGAAATACAATAACGAATGCTATTGGTTTTTGTAAATAACTGTATGTTAATCAAGATAAAATACAGCCGCATGATCATCTGGAGGCTGTCACAGTCTGCGATTCACCATCTAACTCAACATTCTTTAATTAATTCCAGCAGAAAGTTAAGAAACTCATGGGTCACCCGGAGTTCCCAAGGCACCTTGCGAAAGGAAGTGGAATTCAGTGGATCAACGGAACACTGGCAGTGAGCACCTGATTGAAACTTCTGATACAAGAAGCTGCTCATGGTATTCGTGTTTGGGTAGTAAGATCATTAATACTGTATAAGCTTTATATTCGTGACATACTATAAGCTTTAGAGGATAAAATAAGCCAGAGAGCTTGATGGAAGACACAGTGCATCGTAACTTTGACAGGTAACCAATTTCCTTATGTTTTGAGTAAGTTGAATCAACTCTCATTATTCATGACCACGAACAGTAGCATCAGCACCTTACAAATGGCTCTTACTTGCCACGGAGTTCTTAGGATAAACATGTTTGTACTTTGACGGGATATTTACGTGGATATGATAAAGATGGGGGTCGTATATCACTATCCGGTGCAATTTCCTGCCTTCCTTCATGACCTCTTCTGTTGTTTTTTCAGTAGACAAAACTCTTTCTAAAAGGTCTGAATCTTCCGAGTAGAGCTCATCTCCTGAAAGATAATGAAATTTTAATTCCAAAGTGTTATTTTACTAGTAACTCCAATATAATACTGACACATAAATCAGAGCTTGTTTGGAACTAAGATGTTAGAAGGCCCTGACTTTATGAGCTTATTCAATGTCTTTTCTTTTTCAGTTTGAGAGGCAGAAAAAGAGAGTGGGAGAAAGTGTACTGTACTACTTATGGCTGTTGGTTCTTTCCCCAAATGCCTGCAACAGGCTTAGTGATGGGCCGAAGCTGGGAGCCATGGATACTGTTCCAATCTCCCATGAAGGTGCCAGGAACCCAGGTACTGCAGCCTTCACCATCTCTAGCCCACCTGCCAGGGTCCACATCAGTGGGAAGCACAAGTCAAGAGCCAGAGCTGGGTATCAGACTCAGAACTCTGACACGGAATGTGGGCACCTTAAACCACTAGGCCAAAAGCCTGCCCCCTTTCTTATATTTTTAATATCTCACCTGAAGGAGCTGAGTGCCTCAGTAGACAAGGAGGCTTATCACAAGCTAGGAGCACCTGGGTGTGTGACTAACCTTGGAACACCAAATAGTAGACCCAGTGTCTGTCCTTCCTGCTTCCCTTTGATTGAAACTAACAGAAGCATCCCTAGCTTCAATGTTGTCTTTTCTTCTTGCTTTCTTCCAGTTGTAAATAACAGATCACAGCATACCAAGACTCTATGCTAATTTCTTCTCCCTTGCTTTCTTCAGTTTTAGTTAATACACACACACACACACACACACACACACACACACACACACAAACCCAACAGCAACAACAAAAAAAAACTATTCTAAGACCTGCTAGCTTCATGTAAGTTAAAAATTAAAGAGAACTTTGTACCACACCTGGGTTCATTTGGGGTATCAAAGTCTGTGTATTCTTTTTTTTTTTTAAGATTTATTTATTTTTATTACAAAATCAGATACACAGAGAAGAGGAGAGACAGAGAGGAAGATCCTCCGTCCCATAATTCACTCTCCAACTGACTGCAACAGCCGGTTTTGTGCTGATCCAAAGTGAGGAGCCAGGAACCTCCTCCAGGTCTCCGACGCGGGTGCAGGGTCCCAAGGCCCTGGGCTGTCCTGGACTGCTTTCCCAGGGCACAGGCAGGGAGCTGGATGGGAAGCAGAGCCGCCAGGACTAGAACCAGCGCCCATATGGGATTCCTGGTGCATTGCGGGTGAGTACTTTAGCCGTTAGGCCACCACGCTGGGCCCATAAGTCTGTGTATTCTTAGACAAAGTGTGCCATCCTGAAAGCATGGATGGTGGCCCCAGTATAAATTAATAAAATCATTTCTGCACTGAGCCGCCATCTTGTTCTGTGTTCTATCAGTTGTGCCACTCACCTCCTCAATCCCTGCCAAAGATCTGCTTTGGATGCATAAGCATTTATGACTGGTGTAAGGTAACTTTTAAAAAATTTATTTATCAGAAGGTCAGAATTCCAGAAAGAGAGAGAATCTTCAATTCGCTGGTTTAATCCCCAATTTGTGGCAACAACTGGGGCTGGGGCTGGCTGAAGTCAGAAAACAGGAGCTTCTTCTGGGTCTCCTGCATGATCACAGGGCCCCAAAGAGTAGTACCATCTGCTGCTTTTTCCAGGTGCCTTAGCAGGGAGCTGGGATGGAAATGGAGCAGCCAGGACTCAAACCAACAGCCACATAGGATGCAGTGGCTTCATCTGCTATGCCAGAGCACTAGCCATCAACCTGCAACTTTACATTAATTCATGACTATACTTTTTCTATTTTAATGTGTTCTAATAGTTTAATGAAGCTACCACTGATACAACAGCTGCTAGCCTGTGGCCCTGCAGACTGTGATGCAAATGTTCTCACTGGTCTCAGGAATCAGGCAGGCAGCCATGAAGGGAGGTGGGTCACAAAACTCCAGGGTGGAGCACCATCAGAGCTCTGGCATGCACTAGGCCAGCATCAACCGGCCCTCAATGACTTCTCCTGGTCAAATGAGCCGCCTGCTTACCAGCACTAATTATTCAGAACTGAAATGTAACACACATGAGAAAGAGCTCTGTCAGTGTCTAGGAAATACATTTATGCAAAACTTGAAGTGTGTAGGAGCTGGCACTGTGGGGTAGTGGATTAAGCTGCCATCTGCAGTGCTGGCACCCCCATTTCAGGGCAGTGTTTGGAGCCCTGGCTGCCTGACCTCTGATCCAGCTTCCTGTTAACGCACCTGGAAAAGTCCAAGGATGATGGGCTGAGCACTTGTGTTCCTGCCATATATGTACAAAAATGGAGTTTTGGCTCCTGGCTTCAGCCTAGAGCAGCTTTGGCTATTGCAGCTCTCTTGGAAGTGAATCAGCGGATGAAAGAAACCTATCTTTGACCGTATTGTCTCTACTTTTCTTTCTCTGTCACTCTGTCAAATAAATGAATATTCTTAAAGAGTAGGGGCCAGCACCGTGGCATAGCAGGTAAATGGCGGCATCTCACATGGGTGCCAGGTGAACTTCCAGCTGCTCCACTTCTAATCCAGCTCTCTTCTAAGGGCCTAGGAAAACAGTGGAGGATGACTCAAGGACTTGAGCCCTGCCCCCAACATGGGAGAACTGGAATAAGAACTCTTCAGGTTCCTGGCTTCCATCTGAACCAGGAAATCGAAAATCTCTCCCTCTGTGTAAAACTCTGACTCTAAATTTATTTTTGAAAGAAGAAAATGTGCAAGATACACGTATATAACGTATTGTCCAGGATTTCTCGCTCTAGTAAGTGCCATGGCTATTTTACGGGCTTTGATCTTACTGAGTTAATACTTTGTGGACTGTGCTTCCCAGGCTCTAATCCACACAGCCTCGCGTACTGAATGTGAATACGTACACCAGCAAGACTTACCCGGTAAAAGCTCGATGCTCCCATCAGCAGTGGATAACATGATTGGCAGCCATCTTTCCACTCCTTCCGAGGCACGGTCCAAACAGAAGGTGTGCAAGTCAGACACAGAGGAAAAGTTTTCAAGTCTCTTTAGTTCGTAGAACTGTGGGGGTGCCAACCAAATTTCCTTCGAAATGAAACTTCTGGTTGCCTCTGAAGGAGATGACCACTGTGTAAGACAAGAAGGGTTTCCCAAGGTTCATATTTTTTTTTTTTTTTTAAGATCTTGAGACAGTTGATTCACTCCCCAAGCAGCTGCAATGACTGGAACTGAGCCAATATGAAGCTGATAGCCAGGAACTTCTTTCGGGTCTCCCACACAGGTGCAGGGTCTCAAGGCTTTGGGCTTTCCCAGGCTACAAGCAGGGAGCTGGATAGGTAGCAGGGCCACCGGGATTAGAACCGGCGCCCATATGGGATCCCGACACATGCAAGGCAAGGACTTGAGCCACTAGGCTACTGCACCGGGACCCCAAGGTTCATTCTGTACACAGCTGTCAGGTCAGTACCTAAGATCTAACTGAGGAGTGCAAATTGAAGCATATCTGGGTCATGCCAGATCCTCTAGACGGCATGGAAGAATCTATGAGGACACCTAAGTTGATCGTGTTTAGAGGACACTTGTTGGTCACTGACCCTGAGGACTAGCAGGCAGCAGGAGACTCCAAACGGGCCATGGGAAACGGAATTACATGGCCAGCACGACAGGTCGGGCCAGCTTGTGATGCCAGCTGCCTATACTGGAGTGAAGGTTGAAGTTCAGTTCTGCTTCCTGTCCAGCTCCTTGCTAAAGTGCCTCGGAAGCCAGTGGGTAACGGTTCAGGTAGCTGGGGCTCTGCCACCCATGTGAGAGACCCAGACGGAGTTGCAGGCTCTTATCCAGCCCCAATCGCTGTGCTCACTTCGGGAGTGGACCTGTTGATGTACCCAAGAAGATCCAGCCGTTACTTATGGCCTCCCAGGATGTACATAAGCAGAAAGCTAGAATGGGGAATGGAGCTGGGATTGGAACCTAGGTACTTCAAAATGAGATGTAGACAACTCAAGAAGAGACTTAACTTCTGCGTTAAATGCCAGCTACCCAGAATATCTTGACAACAGAGCTGACCGGGGTGTTTTCATTCTCTAATGGGGCCACCAATGACACGGCCAACCTGTGCTGGCAACATCCTGAAATTCCTTCATGCTAACCACCATTCCTCTGTGGTTTTCAGTGATCTGAATTTCTGAAGGCCTATCAAACAAGACTCACTCCAGCTGTATTAGGGTAGCTGCTATGCTGTCCAGATCTTGTCTGTGGGTTTCTATAGGAAGCAAATCTTTGCCTCTTACGTTATTTCATGTATTACTCAACTGCCTTAGGATTAAATGGATTATAGACATTTCAAAAGGATTAGGGGCCAATGAAGCTGCTGCCTACAGCGCCCATATCCCATATCAGCCCTGGCTGCTCCACTTCTGACCTGCCTCCCTGCTAATATGCCTGGAAAAACAGCCGGAAGACAGGCCAAGTTACTCGGGTCTTTGCCAGCCACAGAGGAGACCAGATGAAGTCAGAGGCTCCTGGTTCGATCCACGTCACTGCAGCTATTCGGAGTATAAACCATGTCTCCCTTTGCTTCTCCTCACTCTGCTTTTCAAACAAACAAATCGTTCAATAAACAAAGGACTAAACCACAGTTAACACTGGATTGTGTCCCTGCTTCAGAGATGTAAAGGAGAGTATCAAGACGATCAGAGAAATGAAAAAATATTTTAGAAGAATTAAAAGGAACTTCCAGGAACTTCCAGCATTGGCTTCGACCTGGCCCAGTCCCAAACATTTTCGGCTATTTGGGGAGTGAACCAGTGGATAGAAATCTATCTCCCTCTTTCTCTGTGCAACTCTGCCTTTCAAAAGGATATATATATATATTTAACAAATAAACTTCCAAAGAAGAAAATAACAAGTGAAAAATACTATGACACTTATAGCAGATTCTCTGCTCCATATGCAAAGAAAGCTAACTTGCAAAACAGAGCAACTGAACAAAATAAACAGAGGAAGAAAAAGACTGTGAGACCCTGAATCAGGTCTCAGTGCCCTCTAAGACATGAACTAGTCCAACCTGTGAGACTGGAATCGAGGACATAGGGAGAGGGATGAAATACAGAAATAATAAGACAAAGCAAACAAATCAAGTTGTTACAATCATTGCGCGAAAGTATTTGAAACAGTCATATGAACCAAAACACAAGAGCAAAACCAGCCACACACAATCTACACAGGAAACAAAAGGAAGTGATAGCAGAGTTTCCATTAAGTAAATTAAGTAGAGGTGAGGGAGGATGCTGCAATGCAACAGGTTAAGGTATTACTTGGGATACCCAAATCCTATTATTAACAGTGCCTGATTTGGGGGATAGGTGTAATGGCTTAATTGGCTAATCTGTCATCTGCAAGTGTCAGCATCCCATATGGGCTCCAGTTGTCTCTTGCCTAACTCCACTTCCCATCCAGCTCCCTGCTTGTGGCTTGGGAAAGCAGTAGAGGACAGCACAAAGCCTTGGGACCTTGCACCAGCTTGAGTGATGCAGAGGAGGCTCCTGGCTTCAGATCAGCTCAGCTCTGACTGTTGTGGCCATTTGGGGAGTGAACGAGTGGATGGAAAATCTTTGTCTTCTCTTCCCTATAAATCTGCCTTTTCTTTTTCTTTTTTTTTTTTTGAAAGATTTATTTTATTATTTTTATTGGAAAGGCGGATATACAGAGAGGAGAGACAGAGAGGAAGATCTTCCGTCCGATGATTGACTCCCCAAGTGAGCGCAACAGCCGATGCTATGCCGATCCGAAGCCAGGAGCCTCTTCTGGGTCTCCCACGTGGGTGCAGGGTCCCAAAGCTTTGGGCCGTCCTCGACTACTTTCCCAGGCCACAAGCGGGGAGCTGGATGGGAAAAGAGGGGCCGCCAGGATTAGAACCAGCGCCCATATGGGATCCCGGGCATGCAAGGTGAGGATCTTAACCACTGCGCCACCGCGCTGGGCCCAAATCTGCCTTTTCAATAAAAACAAATCTTTTGGTTTGTATCCTGGCTACTCTACTTCAGATCTAGCTTCTTAATAAAGTACATCCCAGGAGTGAGCACATGACTCCAGTACTTGGGTCCCCGCCACCCATGAGGAATATCCACGTGACGTTCCAGGTCCCTGGTTGCAGCCTGGTCTGATCCCGGCTGCCACAGGTACTTGGGTAAATCAACTACCAGCTGGAAGATCCTGCTCTCTCACTCTCTCAAATATTTTGTTAATGAAGCAGTAAGTTTTAAGTATAGAAAGAAAATAACTTGTCAACATGCCAGAAGCATCTTTCAGGTCTCCCACATGGATGCAGGGGCCCAAAACTTGGGCCATCTTCCACTGCTTTCCCAGGCCATTAGCAGGTAGGTGGACGGGATAGCTGCCAACACCCATATAAGATACTGGCACCACAGGTGAAGGATTAGCTTGCTACACCACTGTGCTGCCCCCTAACGAAAACCTCTTGGAAAAACAAAGGGAGAATCAAGCATGCTATAGCAGATGAAGCTTCTGCTCCACTTTCTATCCAGCTCCCTCTTAATGACCTAGGAAAAGCAGTGGAGGATGGCCCATGTTTCTGGGTATTTACCACCCATGTGGGAGCCCCAGCTGAAGCTCCTAGCTCCTGAATTCTCCCTGCCCGGTGCTGGCCACTCTGGCCATCTGAAGTGAATCAGTGGCTGTTAGATGTCTCTCTGTAACTCTTACTGGCAAAATAAATCTTTTTAAACCCTACAAAAAAAGCAAAGATAATGTCAAGTTTTAAAAAAAAAAATTAGAGAGGGCTTTCAAAAGTTTTATTTGAAAGATAAATTTCACAGAGAAGTAGAAACAGAGAGAGGGATCCTCCATCCATTGATTCACTCCCCAAATGGCTGCAGTGGCCAGAGGTGAGCCATTCTGAGGCCAGAAGCCTCTTTCAGGTCTTCTGTATGAGTGCAGGGGCCCAAGGAGTTGGGCCATCTTCCACTGCTTTCCCCTGAAGAATAGTAGGGAGCTGTATCGGGGGGAGCAGCCAGGACTCCAACCTGTACCCCCATGGGATCCCAGGGCAGCACGAGGCAGAAGCCTCATGCACTGTACCACAGTGCCACTCCCAAGTCTTTTTTAGATACGCAAAGTTTACAGGATTCTCACAAGACATGAACATGAAATATCAGAGGAAGCTAATATTTAGGCAGAGGGATAGGATGAAAGTTTAGATCTATTCAAAGAAATGGAGAGTGCTAAAAATAGTATTCAGGTCAACTTCTCATTTTCACTGTCTATACTGACTGTCTAAAGAAAAAGAAAATAAGAGATTACTATAATTTATAATACAAATAAAAGTCAGATGTATGACAATGCATAAAGCAGAAGGGAGAAATTCAGTCAGCCCTCAATATGTAGGACAGATGGGTTGCAGGACCCTGCAGATAGCAAAGTCTGTGGATGGGGTGTGTGAGAGAGATGGTGCAGTATTTGCATAACTTACACATGCTCCATATATTTTATTTTCATAAGATGTAGTTATTTATTTGAAAGGCAGCGTGACAGAGACATCCGCTGGTCCAATCCCCAAGTGGTCACCAACAGCCAGGGCTGGGTGCGGGTGGAAGCCAGGAGCCCAGAACTCCATCCAGGTTCCCCATGGGTGGAAGGGACCCAAGTACTTGGGCCATTATGCGGCCTCCCGGGATGCTGGACTGAACAAATCAGGCACTTAGGCACCGGAGGTAGGCATCCCCAAGCCGCTATCCAAACACCCTCTTTGCCCTCGCGTCCTTCCAATCCTGCACACTTGCCTCAATTCAGGGATGGGGATGCCATGGCTCTAGATGGCAAATGCATCTGGCTGTATCCATGGCAATCCCATCAGTCAGCACATCAAGACCACAAAGCCAAGGAAGGCAGGGCACTTCCCCAAGGCCATGGCTTTGGTCTGCAGGGATGCAGGGCTGACCAAGGCAGTCCATGGCCAGCTCGGCCGCTTCCTGGCTAATTTTCTTTTCTTTCTCGTTATTTACCACGATACAGTCTTGTAGGTATAGGGGTTTTGTCCTCCCTCCCTTCCACCCAGGCTATCATTCTCCAAATGGTTATAGCAGTACAGTCCCTTGGCACATTACAAGATTGACTTAATATCTAACTTTATAATAACATGCTAGGTATGAGTAGAACATGTAGTGTCATATTGCACGTGTATATTCAAATGTACCATCATGTGAATCCTTCTTTCTTCGGGAGTAAAGACGTATACTGCATGGTAACCCAGTACGCCGGTCTGCGTTACACTGTTCATCTGCAAGAGTGTATGTATGTCCGCAGCTGCCCACATCTACTTACTGGCTATCGTATATCGGACAGAACAAATGATATTTGTTTGGGGTGGGGGGCTGCCTTATTTCACCACTCATAATGGTTTTCACTGGCTCTTTCAAGCTCTTGGCCCTTGGCTTATCCGTGGAGCAGCCCTCCAACATATTCCCTCCCACCCCCCAGGGGGACCCCACTGCCCCAGCCGCCTGGAAACCCTACCTGGGAGTGCACCACCTCAGACCGGTCGGGGCAGACAAGCGGCGGCTCGCTCAGACAGCATAAGTAGAACGCGGTGTCGAAGCGGCGGCGGTATTGGAGCGAGTGTGGCGTGATCCACACACTCCAGTCGTGCAAAGCCCAGATGTCCGGCGTGCAGTCCAGGTGCGCGCACAGGTGCAGGAATTGGCGCGCGTCACTACGGACGCTGGCGCGCCAATCGGCCAGGCCCGACGGCGGCTCGAGAGAGCGGCCCGGCTTCAGAGCCTCGGAACCTTGGTTCGGTCGAGGGCCCCTGGGCCGCAGCAGTAGCACGCCGGCCTCTTCGAAGGCCTCACGGATGGCGCAAATGCGCAAGGCCACGTCATCCGGCAGCGCCGCGGGGTCCCCGTCGGGCCGGACGTCGGGCACCGCCGGGAAGGACGCGCGCCCTACCAAGTCCGGACCCAGGCCGAAGCGCGGCGGCCCTTGGTGCGGTGCGAAGAGGCGCAGCCAGTCGGACGAGCGGTCGGCCGCGTCCAGCCTGCCGCCCGGGAAGACGTGCGCGCTGGGCATGAAACCTTGGCTAGAGGCGCGCTGCAGCAGCAGCAGCCGGAAGCCCTCGGCGGGCGGCGGGGACCGGGCAGCGGCGCTCGGGCGCGTCCAGCCGGCCACCAGCATGACGGAGGCTGCCCGCCGCAGAGTGCTTGGGCCCGGCCTCAGGGAGCCGCTCATGGTCGGAGCGAGCGGCGGCAGCGCGCGACTTCCGGGTTCGGGATCTGGCTCGGCGACAGCTCCTGGGCCGGTTGTGGGTCCCTCCTCTGCACCAGCCGGTGATCTTCCCGGGCTTGAGGATGAGTACCAAAGTCCTGGGTGAACGTGGGCTATGCCGCCTTTCACCAGCGCTGTGGGAGGAGCGAGTCACCCAGACAAACTGGCACCGCCTGGGGGTGTCCTCCGGCCCAACCGCGTCACTCGTCACCCTTGGTGAGCCATTGTCATTTCCAGCTGCTGACCGGAGGCATGCAGGATGACCGCTCGGGAGACACGGACTCAGAGCCACAGTGCTGAAAGGAGGCACCTGCTGCGCAGTAGTCAAAACACAAGCCCAATGGGAGAACACCTAGCCTGCCAAGCCTCTCTCCTCTGGACAAACAGATTCAAGGAGCAGTTGCCTGAGTTTTGCAAAGTCATCTCAGCCATACTAATGAGATGCCAAGAAGCCAGATTGTAAATTTCCTGTAGCTCCGCCCCGGAGTGAAAGGTCCCTTTCGGACCTTGTTCCCCTGGGGTAAATGTCTCCTTTTCAGGGCACTAGGAGCCACCTTAGGCTAAACTGCCTTATTTTTGGGGGATGACTTTTGCTTTCTTGAGAAGTGGTTAGTCCAAACCTCGACATAGGTCTCCTCTCGCCTCAGAACAGCTTTCCTTCTTAGACCTGAGCTTTTAAGAACTCCTTATCAGTTACCAACAGCTTCTGCCACAACTGCTGATACAATGAATCATACTGCCTGCCCCAATTACTGTTACAATTGCTCCTGCCTTACTTTTTTTGAGGAGTTAAGCTCTGTTTGAGCCTCTTTTATAAATTGTTTTGTTTTTATGGCAAGTGGCAAGGGAGAATGCCCGCATCCTCAGGCTCACTTTCTGAGATGCCTGCAATGACTGAGGTGGGATTCCCAAGGTCGCCCACTGGGTGCTGGGAACCGGATTTCCTGAGCCATTGTCGGGACGGGATGGCACCGAGCTGAGTATTGAACCCAGGTACAATTATGTGGGGCCTCTATCATCTTCTGAGTAGAACTCACCAGTTCCACTACCAATACTTGCCGATCGTTTTGGGATTGACTCGTTTCACTGAGCAACAGGTTTTCTAGTTGGGACCATTTGGTGGCAAGCGGCAGAATTTCATTCTTTAGAATGGCTGAGTAGTATTCTACGGAGTAGTTGTAGCACACTTTCTTTATCCATTCCACTTTTGACAGGCTTCTGGGTTGTTTCCATGTCTTTGCTATTGTAGGTTGTGCTGCTGTAGTATGGGATTACAAATCTCTTGCTCATATGCAGATTTTATTTGCTTTGGATATATTCCCAGAAGCGGGATAGCTGGGTCTTATGGCAGGTCAATTTTCAGTTCTCTGAGCACTCTCCATGTTGACTCCATAGTAGTTGCACTAGCCTACACTCCCACCAACCGTGGAGGAGGGTACCTTTCTTCCCATATCCACACCACAGATATTTTAGTAGCGTTCTGAATATAGGCCAATCTCACTGGAGTTAGGCAGAACCTCAATGTGGTTTTCATCTGTAGGGAGCCTGAACATTTTTCTTGTCTATTAGCCATTTGAATTTGTTCTTTTGAAAAATGCCTGTTCATTTCCTTCACCCATTTCTTCACAGGGTTATTTGCTTTGCTGTGATCAAGTTCCTGACGCTCTTTTGTAAATCCTTTTCTAATCATCCCAGTCCAGTTTTTGCATTCCATCCTGCATTCCATCAGTTGTGCATACCCACTGGTGCTGCAGCTTAACTCAACACGGACCTGGCCCGCACATATGCTAGTGGGTACTTACTGCTGCCTTGACCAGCACGGCCTGCTCCTAGCCCTGGTTCTCACGATCACCAGTGCTTCAGCCCAGCAGGAGAGTACCTACAGTTCTCTGACGGGGCCTTTCCCAGCCAGGGAATACAGTGGTCCAACCTTAATGATTTACACTCAGTCCTGGCACATGCCAGCAGGTACTATGGCCTAACTCAACTGACCCACACCCATTATGACTCTCATAGACACCAGCAGGTGCAGCAGCCTAACCCAGTCTGGCCCACCCATGGCTCTCATGTGAACTGGTGGTATTATAGTCTGACCCAGCAGCCTGGCCTGCACCCTGTCTGGGCTATCATTAATGCCAGTGTGTGCTGTAGACTAGCCCAGCCTGCCCTGGCTGCACTCCTAGCTCAACATTAACTGACAGATGCTCCAGCCTGACCTACCTCCACCCAACCTCTCAAGAGCACCAGTGGGAGCTGTGGCCTAGCAGGGAAGTTCCCCTACCAGGCCTACACCCATCCCAGAACTCATGTGTGGTAGCCAGTGCTGAAGCCTAACCTGACTGCTCTGTACCCATTCATACTTGCCAGTACATGCTACAGCTTAGCCTAGCCTGGCCCACCCCCAAGATCTGGCTCTTATGTGAACCAGGGGATGGACTTACCCTGGCATGTCCCATACCTATTCTGGCTCTGGAAGGTGCCAGCAAGTGCTGCCCAGCCTGATCTACCTATAGCCCTGGCTCTCACACTCACCAGTGGGAGCTGCAACCCAACAGGGAGTTCCCAAAGTTCTCCTACCAGGCTTGCTCTGGGTCTTACACATGCTGGTGGGTCCTTTGACCCATCCTGGAGTGGTGTACCCACAGTCTCAGCTCTTGTTGGCAGGTTGCAGCCTAGCCAAGCTGGGCATGGCCCACACTCTGTCCTGGTTCTCATGTGTGCCAGTGGGTGCTAAGGACTGGTCCAGGTTGGCCTGCCCCTAGACCTGGCCCACACGAATGCTGACGAGTGCTATAGACTTGCCTAACCTGGCCTACCCCAGCACATCTGTTGTGTTCCCCAGTGACAGCTGAGGTCTAACAGGAGAGTTCCCCAGATTCCTCTACCAGGCCCATTCCCAGACCTGGATTTCACATATGCTATGGGTGCCACAGCCTTGCTTAACATGGTCTGCCCTCTGTCGAGGCCTTTGCATATATAGGCAGGCACTGCACCCTGGTCTTGCCTGGCCTGCTCCCAGTCCGACGACCCAGCCCCCAAGTGAGCGCAACGGCCGATACCACGCCAATCCAGAGCCAGGAGCCTCTTTCGGGTCTCCCACGTGGGTGCAGGGTCCCAAAGCCTTGGGCCGTCCTCCCTGGCCACAGACAGGGAGCCGGAAGGGAAGCGGGGCCGCCGGGACAGAACTGGCGCCCACACAGGACCCCGGGCATGCAAGGCGAGGACCTCAACCACCGCGCCACCGCGCCAGGCCCCAGTTAACTTTTTAAGAGGACATTGACTCAGATAAAAAAGCAAGGAAGAAAATCAGGCACCTGTGTCTAGCAAGAAATTGGCCCTCTGAAACTCCTCAATATGAACCCAGCTTGTGGGAGCCTCGTTAGGGGAGCCTGAGTAGGTGACTCTGGAACCCATCAATGGGGGTCCTGGCCAGCTGGCTCTGGCTCCCTTCAGAGTCAGAGGCAACACAGTTGCCAATGATCATCCTTGCAGCTTGGCCAATGGTCCTGAACGACATTGCTGGCCTTTTGTTTGGGGCACTTCCTCTGAAAATGGGCTGGCTTCCCACAGTTGCAGCAGGACCTTGGGGTTCTATTTGTTCCTGAGCTTGGCACACTTTTGGCGGCCAGCACTATGACACCTGTATCTCTGCTTTTCTTTTTCAAAATCTCAATAATAGTAAACTGTGCTAGCTGTCTGGATTAGCTGATCCAAAGAGGACTTGTGGGGTCTGACACAAGCGTTTGCAGCTTTCTCCTGATAGCCAGGAACTTGTGCTTGAGGATTGCTCCACCCCCACTGTATCTGACTCTGTCTGAATGCCCTTGAGGCATTCTAAAAAGCTGGCCCAGTCTCTTTCTGATGAACAGTGGTAGGCTGCCCAGAGTTCAAAGACTTCACTTTTGCCTTTTGTGGCCCTTTCAAAATACACTAAAGGAAGTGATTTCATTCCCACTCCAGGTCTTTCACCTTGAGAGAGAAATGTTTATGACAAATCTGCACATCAAATGCTCCCAAACCGACTGCCTGAAATTACCATAAAGAGAAAGAGACTGGCCTTTCCATTCTACCCCTGCAGCCTCAGCCCAGAGGTTTACATTGGAACTGGCGGCAAGTCCAGTGTGAGCCCTGTGCACAGTCATACAGGAGTGGCCCTGTGACCTACCAGGATGGGCTCTAAGAGTCTGGGGATTGCCACTTTATCCCCGCCTAGCTCCATCTGCCATGACCATTGTCATCCTCTGTGGCAACCGCAGAACCCCTGGTAACCCTTTTTTTGGTGTGACCTCTTTTTCCCAGAAAATTTTAAGAGAACCCAAATGAGTCTCCTCCCCATGGGGTGGGGCCATGGTTGGGGCAGATAGAGCAAAACAAGATGTGTGTTACTGCTTGCACTTTTGTCTCTCAACCTGATCAGAATGAGTGGAAAAAGCACACAGGTTCTTGCTTGATAATCTGGTTGGAATCATGGGAATATACCAATACAAGTCTCTCAACTTGTTCCTAAAAGTGAATGGGGAAGTGTGAGGACGTGGCGGCATCAAGTGCAATAGGTTATCTAAAGAATAAAATTGTCTAAGTTGTTTCCATGACTGATTTGGGACTTTCTTTCCTCCAAACAGCAGACAGATAAGAATACCAATGAGGGTGGGAACAGAACTGGAGGCCATAAGATCCTCAGAAATTCCCTGTGGCTCTCGGAACTTCTGAGGGACAAACTCCCGTTGCACAGCTCCACATGCCCCGTTCCTGTTCTGTGGCTGTGCAGGTCTCAGCAGCTGGAAGCCACTCTGGTGACAGACTCTTGGGATGGCAGTAGAAGTAAAGAGACTGGAATTTTCTCAATTCCTCTGGAAGGGGGCAGTTAGCCAAAGGTTCACATCATGAAGTCATTTCAAGCAGGATACTCGTGGGGGTGCCAGGATCTCACCCCTCCTCCACTGAAGAGAAGTCCGCCTTAAATGTGACTGAGCTTGACACTCAGGTACCCTTTTGGAATCCCCCTGGGGTGGGGGGTTCAGGTCACACAGAGGGTGGTCTTAGCTAGAGACTCTCACTTCTCACCACCCAGTTTTCTCTGAACACACGCACCACAGCCTAGCTCCTGAACGAACAGAGGTGATAGGAAAGAACAGACAGGTAGTGCGGGATCAGCGCCTCCAATGACTCAAACAGCCACACCTCTGAAAAATACAATCCCTCTGGAGGTTCAAGTGTAGCCAGAGGGGCCTCTGTGTTCACGCAGAGCCATGGGGTACTCCAAAGGCCCACTTTCACGGGCGTAGTCCCACTTCAGGGAGGCATGCTGAACTTGTAAAATCTTCTTCACTTGAGTTG